ATAATATATTTTTTTTTCTGCGTGTTGCTGGTAGTTTTAGACCTATATAAAATGTACATATGCACTTTTTGTCTACCGGGGCCCGCTTGTGAGGGTCACTGGGCTGTTGTTGGGCTACAGCCATGATGAGAACAGCATCTGTAAGGAGGGATTGCTACTAAGCAGAGCAGGGCCAGGGAAGGCAGCAGAAGCTCATGCATCAGAGAAGGCTTGCTGTGTTGCCATCTGTAATGTATTATTGATATAGTGGAATAGTTTTAAGCTGTATTGTGCTTTGGGGTCTCAGTAATTCCAGTGATGAGCTTTGTCGGGGAGATCTCTTACTTGGGAAGTTGTTTGTTTGATGAGACAGTCAGTCAGGGGTTCCTGTGGGATGCCAGCCTACCCCTGGGGTGTGGACCACTCTGAAGCTCTACATTATTTCTGTACAGTAAGTTGTACCAGACAGTTTCTTATCAGATCAGCTGGAGGAATTATTTCATAGCTGTGATTAGACTGAGTGAGGAGTGCTTCGGTGAGAGAGGGTGTGGCAACGGGAGAGAGAGAGGGAGGAGGCAACGGGCAAGGGGAGTGAAAGAGGGCAGAACCAACAAATGGAGATGGGCAAAGCAAACACAGCTCTCCCAAGCTGCCCTATCATTGGACTTTTGGCAGCAGACCACTATATTGCTAAGTAATACCATTTTAGCAGGGAGTAGAGACCATCACTAGATCTGAAATGAGAGAACGAGGCAGAGCAGAGGAGTGTGGACCTTAAGGACGTGCTGGCATTGACTCTTGGTTCTGATACTTATTTTGTCTGTGATCATGGCAGGTTCCTGGGCCTCAGTTTTCTTATCTTGGAAATAGAAATAATAATTACTTTGTAGAGTTAAGCAGCCTACTTCCTTGTGTTGGAAATCCACAAGGAAACTTTGGGGTACAAAATCTTGGGCTTATACCAGAATCCCCTTTAGCTTGCTGTAGAACATAACCACATGGCCCAGCGAGGCCTGGTGTTCTACGAAATTAAGCAAAGTAAATTAGCGACTCTGGTTGTACTTAGCTAGTGATTAAATAACAGTTTAGTTAATAGGCTGTTAATGGTCCCTAGGTGTTGGTAATTCTGGGTATTTGCTTTTGAGAGCAGTTGTATTATTTCTTCTGGTACTTAGATTTTTCTTTAACAGAAAAATTGAAGTGCAACGGATGAAGCTCTCAAGAGCGATTTAGGGAAAGATGAAATGATATACAGCACATAAAGCATTTGGTGTACAGTCTAACCCACAGAAAGACCTCAGTAAAACTTATCTGCTCTTATTGGGGCTCAGCTGGCCACCCTTATGGCAGAAGTCCTTGTGAAATTTAGACCCCACCCCCCACCCCAAACCCATCCCTTTCCATCACCACCTGATGGCAGCCTGTGGTAGTGCACACATTGCAAGGAAGAATGCTCAAATTGCTTGACAATTAATGTCAGCTCTACCAAGTGTCACAGGGACTCAACCTCAAGAGTGTGGTTGGTTTGCCTGAGAGCTGAGATCGTTAAGCAAGAAGGGACTGTTTGCCTCCACAGCCAGCGTAGAATTAGAGTGTTAGCAACAAGAGCAGAGGCAGTCAGCAGGCAGCTCTACTGGCACACTGTTAACGGGATGTAAGTCAACACCACAGATTACAGAGGCATTCTGAAGGCTTTCATCCTTTGAGGCAGCAAGTTATTTTCTAGAGATTTTAAAAAAGAAATAAGGTAAAAGAAATATTTATTTAGAAAGAATACATATATACATAAATGCTGCATGAAAAATAGCTTTACACCTAACAGAAAAAAACAGGGAGTGAAACCTTTTTCATTTGTGAATTAGAAATCTTACTCCTTAGAGCAGCAGTTCTTAAACAGCGGGGGACACACTGGAAAATAGACATATTATGTCTCCTGCGGCAGAGGCATTGGTGTGGGGAGGCAGAATGGGCTCTGGGAGCTGTCAGTTTTTTAGAAGAACATACATTGTACCCACTGACTCAATAATAAAAGCTCTAAAATTATATGTATACATATATATTATGATAAACAGAAAGCTGGACACAGGCTTGTTTTAAGATAGAGATGATATGAACAAGGGCAGCTATCCCAGACCTGTGTTGGCAAATTTTAGTTTGGGGAGCATTGGTTTGTAGTAAATAGACACACTAATGAAGATGAAGAATTAATTACAACCTGTGGGGGAAGAGGGAGTCGGTTAGGGTGCCACTAGGAAGCTACGAAAGTGATACAATCACAGGCTTGAAAGTTTAAGGGGCCACTTAAATAGCCCCTTATTTAGCTTTGCTGAAGGTCTGAGGCCAGCCTGCCTCTGACACATGTTTAGTTGTCTTTGTAACTCTGGTACCCCATGTGCCCAGTGTGGCAGTGAAGAGGGAGGCCTGCTGGGGAGGGCCTAACCCTCCCTGGTAGTTTTCATTATAAGCCTGCCTGGGGACGAGGTGTAGAGCATTGTACAGGTCCTGATCAGATTCTGTTGCCCTCGTTTAAAGTCCCAGTTTCAAGGCTTTCTGATCTGCCTGGTCTGGGCCAGCCTCAGTCGCATACAACTGGAGGAAACCCTCAGCAGGTTATCGTGTGTGAAAAGATGGCTTACAGTTTGATTTTTATAAGATAGTTTTTAAGATTAAAAAAGCATGCCTGTGTGTATGTATGTGTGTGTGTGTGTGTCTGAGTGTGTGTGGATGTGTGTACCACATGTTGTGCTGGTGCCTGTAGAAGTCAGAAGAGGATGTTGGATCACCTAAAGCTCGAATTATAGTTGGTTGTGGGCTGCTCCCCAACTGAACGCTGCTGAGCACTGAGAACTGGGCCTGGAAGAGCATCAAGCACTCATAACTGCATAGCCATCTCTCCAGTCCCCATAATGTGTTTTAAAAAAAGCCATAGACTACATGAGATCTTGCATCAAAACAGGAGAAAAAAGAAAAAAGCCACAGTCTTTTCCATGTATACATACGTATAAACATATATATATATATAGGGGAAATCTCAAACACACATAATGAGAAAACAACCTAATGAACTTGGTGTCACTCATGGTGTTCAGGTGACGTCACTTCTCTCCAGCAGGGCCGCTTTCACGGTGGTCCCAGTTCTTTTGATGAGAAGTGGGCATTTCTAATGGACTAAATAATCAATACCTTGATGCTTGCCCATTACTCTGAAAGATCAGAGGCTTAGTGAACGTAAGACAGTCCAGGGCTGTGTTGGTCCTCTCCAGCAGGGGAATATCACCATGCTGCTGTTCCTGTCCCTGCTGTGGCTTATATTTGCTCTCACTTATGTGAGGGATTCATCTTACAGAAAATTTCATTCGAGCAGTATAAGGGGGAACCATGTAGGTTTCACACACATCAGGGCAGTAAGGCGTTTCTGAAGTACTGGAGGGTGGAAAGTGCTTATTCAGCACCGTAGAGGCTGGCGAGGTGATTTAATGGGTCCTGGCAATCTGAAATTGCCCAAGGTCCAAGGAGTAGTCATAGAACAACACCAAGGACACTAGCCTTCTGGGACAAAAAGATCCCAGACTCGCCTGCTGTGTCGCTGTCTTTGTGCCCTGGACAGTCTATGCACGTCAGCTTTTTGGCCCTTGGTTCCCTCAGTCTTGGGAGGAACAGTGTACTTTGCCTCAAAGTACACAGACTCAATTCTGAAATTAAAGAACTTGTTATGTAAGACTGTAGACACTTAAAAGCAGCCCCGAACCTGATGGGTCACAGAGTTCACCTCTCGTTTTTTGTTTTTGTCCTTTCTTTTTGAGACATGCTCTCACACTGTAGCCTAGACCGGTTTAGAACTCACGGTGGGTTCCAACTCCCAGCAGCCCGCCTGCCTTACCCTGCCTCCTTAGTAATAGTGGGTTATAGGTGTAAGCTACTATAGCTGGCTTCTACAGCTCATTCTGAGGAAGGACCTGGCTTTGCCTCCGGTACATCACTTAGGCCAAGGATACAAAACAAAAACTAACAGGGATGAAGCTGGAGAGCTGGCTCAATGGTTAGGAGTACCTGCTCCTGCAGAATACCTGGTTTGAGTCCCAGCACCCATGTGGTGGTTCACAACTGTCTGTAAATCCAGGAGGCCCAGCTCCCTCTTCTGACCTCCCTGGACACCAGGCATGAGTGGTACATAGACATACATGCAGACAAAACATACTCATAAATAAATCTAAAAAATAATTAAAATAAAAATATCAGCTATCTGTGGGTCCCCGAGGAAAGGGAACAGGGGCTGTCTCTGACATGCCCTCTGGTGCATGCTCCTCCATCACTTCCCCCCTGGTGGGGTGCCCTTGCAGGGCCACAGAGGAAGAGGATGCAGGCAGTCCTGAAGAGACTTGATAATCTGTGGCCAGCTGGTAAGGGAGGAGGGCTCCCCTTTTCTAAGGACTAAGGGAGGAGTATAGGAGGAAAGAGGGAGGGAGGATGGGACCTGAAGGAGACAAGGGAGGGGGATATGATCAGGATGTAAAGTGAATAGATGAAGTGAAATAAAATTTTAAAAACATCAGATATCCAGGAACAATTTCTTTATGATCCCTAAATCTTGGAAGTGCTTTTATATGACTTGATCTGTCTGATTTAGACAGTGGCCTCCCTTTCCTTCATCTGTGCTAAAGATAAATAAATAAATAAGTTGAGCGAGCTGTTTATTTCCAAAGCTGCCTGACATTTGGGGACTATGCAGTTCCTTACATTAAGCAGAGATAAATTAGGAAATTAGAGTGATATGTAGGTGTCACAAAGACTCCTGGGAAATCAACTTGAATATGAAATCCCACTGCTCAGTAAGGTTCTGAATGTTTTCCTGTGACTCAGCATTAGTGGAAAAGAAGTTACTTGCCCCCTTTTAAAGAAGGGAACCGAATTAGGGATGTAGCCTCAGTGATGTGACAGTTTTTTTTTTTTTTTTTTGTTTTTTGTTTTTTGTTTTTTTTTTTCTAAAATTGCTAATTCCTGCTTCAAACTTCCTTTTGCAGGCTAGCTAGCGACCAGGAGAAATAGAGTGGAAAATGCAAAACAACGAAATTATTAAACCTGCCAAATACTTCTCAGAGCTGGAGAAGAGCATCTTGCTTGCTTTAGTAGAAAAGTACAAGTATGTGTTGGAATGTAAGAAAAGCGATGCGCGAACTATTGCCCTCAAGCAGCGTACCTGGCAGGCACTGGCTCACGAGTACAACTCTCAGCCCAGCGTGTCGCTGCGGGATTTCAAACAGCTGAAGAAGTGCTGGGAGAACATCAAGGCTCGGACCAAAAAAATTATGGCCCATGAGAGGAGGGAGAAAGTGAAGCGCAGCGGGAGCCCATTGCTGAGTACCCACGTCCTGGGGAAGGAGAAGATCGGCAGCATGCTGCCAGAGCAGCTGTACTTCCTGCAGAGCCCACCCGAGGAGGAGCCCGAATACCACCCGGATGCTGCCGCCCAAGGTACCCCTCCCCGGGCAGGGAGCTACACAGGCTGCAACAGCTTGGCATTGGAATTGTAAAACGCTTCGCATTGACGAAACTTGTAAGAAAAGTTGTTATCAGACTGGGCTGTTACATAGGGCACCCTGAGCAGAAGCACATTGTTCCATTTTATGCTGTCTCCCTTAGAGATGATCACTGCTCAACCATAAAGAGCTGACTATGTATCATGCTCATTAATGAGGTACTCTGTTGCTTTGCTCAAACTACCTTCAGTTTATTAAAGGATGGAGATCTCTATTCATTCACTCAGTCTTTTAAAAAAGTTATTTTTGAGCACCTACAGTGTCAGGTACTGTGCTAAGTCATCCAAAAGGCCATCCTAAATGAGTAAACTATTTCCAACTTTAAAACAAAAGCACAGAGTTTAGTGGCTGGAGAGATGGCTCAGCGTTTCAGAGCACTTGCTCTCTGCAGAGGACTAGATCAGTTCCCAGAACCCACATTGGGCAGTGTAACTCCAGCCCCTGGGGATCAATACCGTATTCTGGCATGTGCAGTCACCCACCTACTCATATGCATAGCCACATAGAGGCCTACACACATAAAGATAAGTTAAAGAAATATAAATCTTAAAGCAATGCATCAAAAATTATAGAGGCTGATAAAGCAAGCACCCTTTCAGCATTCACTCAGATTCACACCAATATTTTCACCTACTGTGATCATTGTAATCCTAAGTTTTTGTTATTTGTGGCATTCTAGGGGTCTAGAGAAATTCTAGGGACAAAAATTAAACTCTAGCATACTCTTGTGAAAAAAAAAGAGCAAAGTGTGCCACACATAATTCTTAAGGAAGGAAGAGACTTTTATAAAGGTATAGTGGTAACGTTGTGTCAAGTGCTTGGCATCAAGGAGTGCCTCATGTCTCCAGGCAGGCAGAGAGTGGAAGGTTGGTCAGGATGCTCCAGGCTGCAGAGAGGTGCTCCAAGGTCCCAGCAAGCATTTGCCTGGGAAATCAGCTTCTTAGCTTACAGAACACTGACTCCAGGGTCCCCAGAGCAGGTGGAGCAATAAGGGACTGGCTTCTGTTAATTAATAGGGCATAAGAAACTGTCAGAAGCCAAGAATGTCGTGTAGAGTGAGAAAGGTGATTACCACATGAGACGAATATATGCTTTTGATTAATACTTTTCCCCCTATGGGCAGATCATCCCAGGAAGCTAAATTATGGCACAAAACTGATCGCTAATCAGTTGGTCAAGGTTAGGTCCAGGCTAGTAGGCTGGGTGACCACTGTGGTCTGTGTCATGGACCTTATGTATCATTCCCTGAGGTAGGAGACTTGTTTCGATTCTTGGGTTCCCACGCCAAGCTAACTGTTGGCAGATACAGTTTTTGTGGGCACTGCCAGCTCTCTTAGCCACCCCCCCCCCGTGCTGATTCTGTGGGCATGCGCTTCCTTTGCTGATCTTTGTGGCTTCTGTCACTTTTCCGTCGCGGCCACAGAGTATTCAGTCAGTACAACATCATAGGAGTGGTGTTGCTTGTCACCTGGCCAACTTCCCTTGTGCTGAGGAAGATACTCATGTGTGTCCCATTTACTTAGTAAATGTGTGTTCTAGATTGTTATGTGTCAGTTCTAGCTATTTTTATTTTTACATTTATGTTGGGGGCATTGCACATGTGATGGTCAGAGGATACTTTTGGGAGTTAGTTGTCCTTCTGTTGTGAATCCTGGGGATTGTACTCATGTGTCAGGCTTGGTGACAATGAGCCATCTCACCAGCCGTTATACAGTTGTACTTGGGGAACAAAATATCTTTTTTCCACACATTTAAAATCAAAGGTAGGGTCTAGAGATTTCATCTCATGACATTTTATTTTCTTCCCTTTGGAAAATAAAATGCAATTCATTTACTCAATAGAAATTTCAAGCAAGAAGGAAATAAAATATGGACCTTATCTTTTGTCTTCCTTCCCTTCTTTTCTTTCTTTTTTTTCTTCCCCCACACCTCTTTCTGAGACATGGTTTCTCTGTGTAATCCTGGCTGTCCTGGAACTCACCCTGTAGACCAGGCTGGCCTCAAGCAGAGATTCACCTACCTCTGCCAGGTTAAAGATATGTACCAATACCACAGTTCTTCCTTCCTTCCTTCCTTCCTTCCTTCCTTCCTTCCTTCCTTCCTTCCTCCCTCCCTCCCTCCCTCCCTCCCTCCCTTCCTTCCTTCCTTCCTTCTTTCCTTCCTTCCTTCTCTATTTCAGATTTAGTCTCATTATGTAGCCCTTGTTAAGATTTATTTGACTTTATACACATGTGTGTGACTTAGTGTACATGTGTTCACCGTACATATGCAGGTATCCACGGAGACCAGAGAAACCCGGAACTGGAGTTACAGGCAGTTGTTGGGAACCAAACCCCAGTGCTCTTACTGTTGAGCCATCTCTGCAATTTATGTAAAATTAGAGATTTGTACATAGGTAACACTGGAGACTTTCTTTTTCACTGGTGCTCATTAAAACACAGCCAAGGCTCCTGTTTCCGTTGTCAGACCTGGAGAGCAGTAAGCCTTGGTGCCCAGGCAGTTTAGAAGTGTGCCCAAAGTTAGTACTCACAGCTGGGGCACCAACATTCTTTCTACGATTCGGAATGACCATGAGGTTTTTACACATTTTTACCTTTCACTGTACTTTCAGGAAGTCAGTGAGGAGGGGCTGCAGAGACGGCTCATCCATGTAGAAAGCCAGCGTCGCCTCAGCTCTGCAGGGGAATCTGTGCAGTCACCTAGTTCCAGGTTCAGGGAGACACCCTACCTCAAGGCAGTAAGGCAGAGTGATGGAGCAGGGCTCCTGATACCTTCTCTGGTCCAGAGGAAGCCTGCATGTGCTTATGCCCCCAACTCTGTCTGTCTGTTTCCCTCCCTCCCTCTTTTCCTCCTTCCCACTCCCTCTCTCTTTTCCCTCCCATCCTCTCTCTGTCTCACACACAAGAAGTAATAAAATTAAACAAACAAAAGATGAAAAAAGGATAAGATTGCCAATAATCCTTCCTGGAAATCGGTAGAATATCTTGTGTGTTTTTGACACATGACTGTGTGTGTTGCTCTTGTACTTCCAGGACCTCGGTGTGTAATAGAGAAGCCACAAGGGGCCGGAGGCTCATAAGCCATTGAAAAATGAGTAGACAAGGCCGAGATGTTCTGTAATCACATACACCACGAGAGAATCTCATCAATACTTTAATGTTAATTATGTGTTTAAATAAGTTTTTAGATAACACGGCATTAAAATGTATCACAAAAGCAGTGTAGCTTTTGTAATGTGGGTGTAAGCATTCAGAATTAGTCACCAGCTCGTACTCTGCCCTGTTGGTCAGTGCGGAGCTGCTAACACCCTGTGACTGGCCTGCTCCCAGAACGAGGCTTCCAGAGATGTGCTGGGGTTTATTATAAAATGGTAAGCAGGGTGGAGTTTAGCAGATTCCACTAGAGGCCTCCCTGTAGCTACATTTTGGTGGGAGATGGTATCACTGTGCCCCCGGATGTTCACGCCTTTGTCAGAGACTTTCTTAACATGTTTAACAGTGTTTGAACACAGTGGTCTTGCCGTTTAAGGAATGTACTTAGGAGCATATTATATATATATATATATATATATATATATATATATATATATATATATATATATATATATTCTATTGTAGATCAGGCTGCCCTTGAACTCACAGAGGTCCACCCGCCTCTGCTTCCCTGAGTGCTGGGAGATTACAGGTGTGAGCTACTGTGCCCAGTGTAGGAGCATGTTTATAAGAAAACCAGTCCTGTAAGTACTGGCTCCTTGAAAACGGTTTCCGGTGTGCACACTTAGCGATCTCTGATACTTTGATTAGCTAGCCCTTTTGAGGAACAGGTGTGGAGAAGGGCGGCTGAGTAAGTAGGGCGACAGATTAAATGCTTTAAGATTACTCGTTTATTTCATTGTGCGTGTGCACGCCAAAGCATGTGTGTGGTGTCAGAGGACAGTAGGGTGAGTGGGCACTATTCTTCACCACACGGATCTGGGGATTCGACCCGGCCATCAGTGCAGCAGCAAGGACCTCTGCCGGTTGAGCTGTCTAACTGGCACCTTGTACACTTAAGAGAAATAGCCATTTTGAGTAGCCATGCATTTTAGGAGAAGTTGTATTTCTTTTGTATGCACTGTATCTCTATGACGCAGCTGTAATTAAGTCTTGTGAACATTTCCTCAGAAGCCCCCTCATCACTGTAGAGCCCCGCTCTGTCCTTTTAGGTGTGAGGCCTGAGGTGTGCTTCCAGTCATGACATACTTGCACCCTTGGTCTGTGCAGCGCTCCTCTGTGTGTTAGTTCTCTGTGTGTTCACTTTTGAGCCTCAGTCCTACTCTCATTCTCGGGTATGACACCCAGGTTGGCGTGCCATGCTTTAGTGTTCTCTCACGTGTACTTGCTAAAACCTGTGCTGTGGCTAGCTCTTCCTTTTGCTTTTTCTCACCTAGACTAGCATGTTCAAGCTCTAGTTCCATTACTGTGTGTAAACCCAGCTTTTAATGTATTTAAGTAAACGCCTTCCGTATGCATCCACCACACCTCACTCATTTTCTCAGCCATCTCTTTCCTTCATTCTGATGAGAGGAACTGGAGATTGTCCTGCACAGTTTTCTTCTCATCTTTTCATTGCTGTAGTAGGCTTTTCCCGCGGATGCTAAATTTACTCAAATTACCCAAGTGATAGAACACTCTCTTGGCTGTGTTCTCAGTCCCAGAAAAGCCTTGCTACTCTTTTTACGTAGAGTTGGGTTGTTTTCTACTTCAGGGGCATTGTTTCACCTGGGAGGGAGATGGTGGGGAGTGTGTTGGCTGCAGGCTGCTATTCCCAGGCTAGTCTTTTTCCAATTAAGGGATAGTCAGCCCATCTGAGTACTAGTTTCTATGCAATGATGCTAATGTTTGTTTGAAGGTCACTTTACTACTCTTTCTGGCTTTAAGTCCTGTCTTCTGCCAG